TAGGCCAAGTTGGGCCAATGGGATCCACGGGACCACAGGGACCACAGGGACCTGAGGGTGTCGCGGGGCCCAGGGGCATGCCGGGGCTTGCTGGCGAAATGGGACTTAAAGGCTTTGCAGGACCTCCAGGACCAGATGGATTGCCGGGAATGACAGGTAAAATACATTTTTTTAAATAATTAAAATATGAGATGTATCTTCGGTGATAAATACAAATTCTTGTTTTTAACTTACCTGATCAGACTTGTTGGTTCGATTTTTATTAACCCTGCAAGTAAAACCAAGTTCGATTGGTACTTTGTTCTCATAAATGGCTTTTATACTTTTACATTAATGATATTAGGTCTAATATACACGTGGATCTGGCTAAATGCAAAGACCAACGATCATTTTTTGGTGCTGATGATAATTGAATGGGTCCGAAAACGCAGAATCCCCTTAGTTATAAAGGCTTTAAAAAAAGTAATAAATTAAATTTATTGGCATTATCAAGTCACCCCTTCAATCTATCATAAGTATCACTACTGGATTTGCTAATCCACAATTGATGAGCCTTTACTTATGAACAGGATATTATTAGCAAAGATATGAAGACCAAGATGGTGTGTGCTTCAGTGTGATCGCAGTCTCCATTCAATGTATATAAGTGGGTTAACCTCATTTTTACAACTTGGTCGTTCGTCATGGTGACTTACTTGGACGCATCTTGTCCGAAGTAATCTGCTATAGAGGTTAACATACTGCCCGGTGTCGGACCAGGTCCACTGTCTGTTGTTTGCAATTATGATAACTACTATAGCAGGGAACTTCGGACAAGGTTCGTCCAACTAAGTCGCCGTGACAAAACGACCAAGTTGTTAAAATTAGGTCAACCCACTTCTAAAATTTTTACCAGTTTGCCGATATTATGCCATAATCTTAAGGCCTAAAACTAATTGGTAATAGTAATAAATCAAATGCGCCCGCAATTTTGTGGCATAAATGCTAAGTGAAAGTATCCATCGCTACGCATTGGCTCTAGGTCCTAAATTTAGCTAACAAAGGATTGAGCATAATGAGGCATCTTTTTTTATTTTTTACACCTAGTTGAGCCGTCATAACTTAAACATGTATTGTAGATCATCAGTTCCATTCACACTCTCTGGAGCAAAATAAATTATTTTTAAAATTCACTTTGATACGTCTCACACTCCCGAGAAATAAATATTTGGTGCTGATGCTCATTTGATTTTTCTTATCACTCCAATTTTTTCATGGTTTTTAGGACCAAAAGGCCTTCGAGGAGAGAAGGGCAACCCAGGTGGCAGAGGCCAGAAGGGTGAGGTCGGCTTACAGGGTCCCCGCGGTTACAAGGGCGAATTAGGCCCCAGTGGATCAGTCGGTAGCAAAGGTGACGTCGGGAAGACAGGCGGACTGGGAATCATTGGACATCCTGGGCCTAAAGGTATCAAAGGCGACATTGGCGCACCTGGTGCCGTCGGTATGATGGGCCCAATGGGCGACAAAGGTGATGTCGGACCCCCTGGACCTACTGGCAAGAGAGGTGATCGGGGCCCAAAAGGAGTGCGAGGAGCGATAGGACTTCCTGGTCCGACTGGACCGGATGGTGAGAAAGGTCCGCCAGGGCCTGCTGGAAGCCGAGGTCAGGATGGCGAAAAGGGCGACATGGGGGCTCCTGGCCAGTCAGGGGATATGGGCGAGCAGGGGCCACGCGGAGTGCCGGGGATGCGAGGCCCTCAGGGAAAAGTCGGCCCTCCCGGAGAGAAAGGAGACGCCGGAGGGCTAGGACCTGTGGGACCACCTGGTCCAATCGGCGAAGAGGGTCCTCCGGGCCAGGCTGGGCCTCCAGGATTGATGGGACTCTCGGTAAACTTGGATCTAGTATATATTTAGCAACCTAATAGCTAAGTTAGCTTTTATTATATTAGAATGTTATTATTATTGCAATAGATTACATATAAATATAGAAAATCAACTCAGTCTTTATGCTACTAGGCACCTAGTCACTTTAACCTCAAAGAGGCAATACAAGCAACTAGCATGTAGAAAGGGTCTAACAACGTCTTCGCAGCTTAGACGTGTTGCCCAGGGAACTCAAGAGAAAGTGTCGGGCCATGGATTATATGGATTCCCAGAGATTTCGCCGGCATCAATGTAGGCCTCGTCAATAAGCCTTAAAAGTTATATCACCGTGTTATAATTTGTTATAGAGACAAATATAGTCTATTAAATGACCAACTTTCTTAATCTAGTAACTCAATCCCTGTCATATCTCAAAATGTGTTTAGTTTGAGCTCCATGTAACCTAGGATGAATACAGCTCTTATACAAAATATATTGGCAATTTCTTAACTTACCTAAACTGAATGATCTCTTTTCTATCGTAATCATCTCAATACTCCATTTCCTTAATACTGGTCGCCTTTTTACTTAGCTTACAGAAGGGTAGCCCGTCCCCTTTTGCACATCCTTTTCCATCCTTATTTTCTTTTCGTAATTCCATCTTACCATCTGCTTTTCGAGACCCGTATCTGGCTTTTATCTGGTATCCATTATGGAGAAACATCCGAGTTACGTTGTTTTCTTCCTCATTCCTGAACTTCATAGCCGTTATAATTAAGTTTATCGTGAGTAAGCTCTCGAGTATTTTGGTCTTCAGTCTATATTTGCGATTATACTAGGAAATTAGTATTATTTCTGTATAAAATTACTTTCTAAATGACTTCGACCTCCAGGAATAGTAAACACTATTATCCTCTACATCTAGCATTAGTGTAACCCTTTCATAAATCTTATTAATAAACTTAATAAACTTTTCTTTATTTGCTCTTCCATGAGAATCAAAATCTTATCACTTATCCACTTACACATGTGCACTCTTGATTGCAGCCATAACGTCTTAACTTCCTCTTCTTATTTGCTTACCTATACTTTTATCTAATAAGGTCAAGATGGAAATCCCATAGTTAGTTTAAATTTATCTTCATATATATGGCGGTTGGATGTGAAATGGTTGGTCCCTATTGTATAGTTTATCAGTCATGTTAATGTCTCCCTCCAGATTCACTCCGATTCCAGATAACATACATTCCTCAGGACTGTGAGTGTCCTTGCTTTCCAGATGTTTATATAAATGGGTTGTACATCAAAACTTCCCGACAGTTAGAAGTGGGTTGATCTCGTTGTCGCAACTAGGTCTAGTTGTCATGGGGACGCACCTTGTCCGAAGTCGTCTGTCAGACGCGAAATCCCAAAACAACAGTTTGAAAATCAAGTCAACGTCTATTCTCATCGGACAACCCCCAGTGAAGCACAGGATTGTTAGTAAACAAAACTCTAGGCGGATCACCGAAGCTTACCTTTTAAACAAAACCGGAAATAGCCTTTAAGTAAGGATTATGAGTAAAACAATAAACTTCAACTCGAGCAAAGTTAGTTCATGGCGGGAC